CTGGACTGACCTATCCCCTTCCTAACTCCCTACCTACACTCACCTTTCCTGGCCCCATCCCCGCCTCTTCGACCTGTTTGTTTCCTCTCCACCTATCCTCTCCTCTATCCATCTTCTATCCGCCTCCCACTCTCTCCCTATTTATTTCAGAACCCCCTTCCCCTCCCCCTTTTCTGATGAAGGGTCTGGACGCGAAACGTCAGCCTCTCTGCTCCTATGATGCTGCTTGGCCTGCTGTGTTCATCCAGCCCTGCACCTTGTTGTCTCGGATTCTCCAGCATCTGCAGTTCCTACTATCTCAGAATCCCTGACACTCCTGTTTATATCTGTCAGCCACAGCTACTTGATCAGACCGGGTTAACAGCCACAATCAGGGGACTCACATTCTATGAGGGCCATTTGGCTGATCTTGTTACAATCACTACAAAAAAATTACCCAAGTCCAAGTCCAGGTCCAGGTCATTAATACACATGGAAAGGGAACAGTGATCCTACTAATATTTCCCCTAACCTGGGGAGCACCACTTCAAACTTCTTTCTAATCTGGAAAACAAATTTAACCACCATGCCATTCTTTCTTTCTCTTCGTCAATTATTAGTATCATACAAACATACAGCATAGAAACAGGCCCTTCAGCCCATCATGTCTACGGTGACCAACAAACACCAAACTATGCTAATCCCATTTACCTGCACTTGGTCTGTACTGATCCAGATGCTTCTTAAATGTTGCAAGAGTACCTGCCATTGTGTAGTCATGTTGCCACCATCCCTTTACAACCATGTCAACTTAGCTACAAGTCCATTACATAGTATTTTGTTGTACACCCTTTATGGGGTGGATAGAAAACATGAAACACCCACTATCTTAACAATGCTCTTGTGTAACTTCAAAGAACTCAATCAAGTTAGCGAAATGCATTCTCACATTGGTTATTAGCCCATTTTTGCCAAAATGCCAACAAATTTTTACTTATTATCTCAGAACTGGGAAAGTTTGAGGATATATGTTTGAAAGCTTATTACATCTTTAACTTTTCCTAGTTTTGAAGAGAAGTCACAGTTCTAAAATGCTAACAAAGTTTCTCCGCAGACACTGCATAATCTGTTGAGTATTTTCTGTCTTTATTTGCGCAGGTCATAATAATATAAGT